TTCATTTATTTAGTCTTTAATTTTTTTTGTCTACCTCTTTTCTTTTGCGTTCTGGTGATTTTCCACTTTGTAGTACAATCACATCAGTTAGACTTCTTTATCTCTGAAAGTGTAATCGATCTATATGAGTTCATAGATCTCAACACCCCACATTGGGGAAAAATACCACCATCTCCATCAGCTTGTCATTAGACCTCAGCCCCCCACCTTGGGCAAAAATCACCACCATCTCCATTGGAAAATTCCTCCTATTTGGCATACTCAAGGAGATCAACTCTAAAACTCCATCTTGTCGCAGCTGGAGCTCAACCCCAAGAGATCTCTATCGCCGCTTCTGTTATGTCACTATCTTTGGGGCTCGCGAGGCACATGTTGCCTATTGATTTGAACGAGCCACTACCTCTGTCGTTCTAAAAATTAGTTTTGTTGTTTGGTTCTGGGTAGAGATAGAGTGATGAAAACTAGCACCAATACTGCCATACAAATTACATGCGAAGACGGAGAGCTAAAACAGGACAGAGCGTATTTTATCTTCCCCGCTTGGGGCAAAGATTGGGGCAAAAAAAGTCAAACCGTTACGGGGCACAAGACATAGCAGGTTACGAATTGGAGGGCAGAGCAGATCACAAATATAGTAGTATCGCCCCAAACTTGATCCGTTGGCATTCCAAGTTGTTAGGTGTTGATGCCTCCTTGTATTCGAATGTGCAAGATCCTTTCTTGGTTGAGCTTCTAGCCTTGAAAGATGGGATTTGTTGGGCACTTGAGATGGGGATGCAAGATATCATTTTCGTCAACGATGCTTAAATGGTGTTGGATAAGGTTAAGGAGGACATATGTTTGGATGCTTGGGGTGGGGCGATTTTGTGCGAGAACAAGTTATTGAGGTAGTGTTTCTACAAGTTTAGTGTTTGTTTTGTTAGTCGTGCTCACAAAATGGTGGCTTGTATGGTGGCCAAAAAAGTCTTTTCATTGTTCCCTAGTTTGATAAGGTTCTATTTTTGTTACTGGTTCTGGTCGGACAACTTACTCTAGTGTATCTCCCTTTTCTTGTTTAATACAAAATATCTTTTGGCAAAATAAAAAAGTGTGAGGTCACATTTGGATATACATGGATAGCTTAATAAAATACTCGATGAAATTTCACTTATGTTACAATATGAAAACTTAACTAACCATTTTAAACTTTAGTGACGAGTATACGGTATTTGCCATAACTCGATGACCATTTAGGTTAACATTTTTTAATAACAAAAAAGCAGTGTTATTAAGACCGGCCTGAACCGGTCGGTTAAATCGATAAAACCGGTTCCCGGTCGGCGGTCACCAAACCAGTTCGGATCAGTTGAAAAACTGTAGCAGGCAGAACGGACGGTCGACGAGCAGCCGAAGTGATTAACCACTCGAGCTGACAGACCGGTTTTCGACTCCTGGCCGTCTGTTGTGCAGTAGATTTTTTTTTAAATCCAAAAATGGATGCAGGACTTGAAGTCGTCAGAACTTTTGAAGGCCACTGGCGCCGGAACCCAACCGACGGGAAACAGAAAGAGAGAAAGAAGAGACTATACTGGCGATTTTGAAAGTTCACTAACCACCATCACAGATTAGGAACCACGAAAAAAGAGAGAGAAGAGATTATTGACGACGACTCTGAAAGTTGAGCCTCTTAGAAGGAGAGACTCCCCTCTCGGCGCCCCATTGCATGTTCTCTCTCTCAAAATTTGAACGGAAGAAGAAAGAAGAATAAGGGGATTTTGCTGTAGAATGGTCGAATGGGGATGCAAGATATCATTTTCGTCGACAATGCTTAAATGGTGTTGGATAAGGTTAAGGAGGACATATGTTTGGATGCTTGGGGTGGGGCGATTTTGTGCGAGAACAAGTTATTGAGGTAGTGTTTCTACAAGTTTAGTGTTTGTTTTGTTAGTCGTGCTCACAAAATGGTGGCTTGTATGGTGGCCAAAAAAGTCTTTTCATTGTTCCCTAGTTTGATAAGGTTCTATTTTTGTTACTGGTTCTGGTCGGACAACTGACTCTAGTGTATCTCCCTTTTCTTGTTTAATACAAAATATCTTTTGGCAAAATAAAAAAGTGTGAGGTCACATTTGGATATACATGGATAGCTTAATAAAATACTCGATGAAATTTCACTTATGTTACAATATGAAAACTTAACTAACCATTTTAAACTTTAGTGACTAGTATACGGTATTTGCCATAACTCGATGACCATTTAGGTTAACATTTTTTAATAACAAAAAAGCAGTGTTATTAAGACCGGCCTGAACCGGTCGGTTAAATCGATAAAACCGGTTCTTGGTCGGCGATCACCAAACCAGTTCGGATCAGTTGAAAAACTGTAGCAGGCAGAACGGACGGTCGACGAGCAGCCGAAGTGATTAACCACTCGAGCTGACAGACCGGTTTTCGACTCCTGGCCGTCTGTTGTGCAGTAGATTTTTTTTTAAATCCAAAAATGGATGCAGGACTTGAAGTCGTCAGAACTTTTGAAGGCCACTGGCGCCGGAACCCAACCGACGGGAAACAGAAAGAGAGAAAGAAGAGACTATACTGGCGATTTTGAAAGTTCACTAACCACCATCACAGATTAGGAACCACAAAAAGAGAGAGAGAAGAGACTATTGACGACGACTCTGAAAGTTGAGCCTCTTAGAAGGAGAGACTCCCCTCTCGGCGCCCCATTGCATGTTCTCTCTCTCAAAATTTGAACGGAAGAAGAAAGAAGAATAAGGGGATGTTGCTGTAGAATGGTCGAATGGGTTATGGTAAAGATTTTTTATGGTTATATATATAAATCTAAAACTACTAAATGATAGCTGTCAAGTAAATTTCATTTTAGCTATTAAATTAAAGTATTACCTATGCGTCTTCTACTTTTAATATTATTGTTTATAAGGTATTGGTTCTATATTAATCGTCTAATATCAGTTGGACCACTAAAATGTGAACATTTATATAGTCGGGTCATATTCCGTTTCGGTATTAATGGTCTAATACCGGTATAAAAAGAAGCCAACCCTAGCCGGCCAAGCGCTGACCCACCGTCCAAGCTAACGTTTGCCTTTACACTTCACATCATCGGCCGAACCCCGCACCCGACGGTCAAATAGACGACATCTTGTCCGTTCAATCCCCCGAGAATCCAACGGCTAGCAATAAACCCTAACGACGTTGTTCTCCTGCTCTCATCTGCCACTCTTTAAAAGCCGCGCGTTTCTCTCATCTGTGTCTGTCCCCTCCGTCCATCGCCACACAAACTCAGCTGCTCATCTCTCTCTCTTTCTCTCGGGAATTCGTATCAACAATCGCCCTCTCGTCAACGCCGGCGAGAGAAGGAGAAGCTCTTCTTCTGCGGTAAAGTCTCCGATCTCCTATTTCCTCACCCTTCGCCTGTTTGTGCGATCAATTCCACGCTTGTCCCTCCTTTGAGTTTGCTCTCAGTTGCCTCATGAGCAATTTCTGCATATGTATGCCCTTCTCTTGCATGCGTCCTTAGCACAGCTCGTTTGTGGTTTAGAGCGTCTCTTTCTCGCAATCATCCCGCTTTTACATCGTGTAGTCTTCTCGCTGTTCGCTGTTTGGTTTAGTTATGTGCATCTGCGCTTATTTGAATATATGTATCCCTGATAACCATAATTCGATCTATGTGTGAAATATGAACTGTCGATTGACTTGTTCGATTATGTTGATGTGATGCATAATCATTATAGATTCGATCGCTTAGTTTGTGATTCGAACGTAATTTGTGCTGATGGCAAGTTCCGTTCCCTGTATTGCAGTTGTATTTGCTGGTAATTCAGAATGGGTAAGGAAAAAGTTCATATCAACATTGTGGTCATTGGCCATGTCGACTCTGGGAAGTCAACCACCACCGGCCACTTGATCTACAAGCTTGGAGGTATTGACAAGCGTGTGATCGAGAGGTTTGAGAAGGAAGCTGCTGAGATGAACAAGAGGTCATTCAAGTACGCATGGGTGCTTGACAAGCTCAAGGCAGAGCGTGAGCGTGGTATCACCATCGACATTGCCCTGTGGAAGTTTGAGACCACCAAGTACTACTGCACAGTCATTGACGCCCCAGGACATCGTGATTTCATCAAGAACATGATTACTGGTACCTCCCAGGCTGATTGTGCTGTCCTCATCATTGACTCCACCACTGGTGGTTTTGAGGCTGGTATCTCCAAGGATGGCCAGACCCGTGAGCATGCTCTCCTCGCCTTCACCCTTGGTGTCAAGCAGATGATCTGCTGCTGCAACAAGGTCAGTGAGTTAATGTTGTTGATGCCATTTAGTTTTCGGTGAATTGCTCGCTGATTGAACCAATACTGATATTTTTATCCATACGTATGTCAGATGGATGCCACCACCCCCAAGTACTCCAAGGCTAGGTACGATGAAATCGTGAAGGAAGTTTCATCCTACTTGAAGAAGGTTGGGTACAACCCAGACAAGGTTCCATTTGTTCCCATCTCTGGGTTCGAGGGAGACAACATGATTGAGAGGTCGACCAACCTTGACTGGTACAAGGGCCCAACCCTTCTTGACGCTCTTGACAACATCAACGAGCCCAAGAGGCCATCAGACAAGCCACTCCGTCTCCCACTCCAGGATGTGTACAAGATCGGTGGTATTGGAACTGTGCCAGTGGGTCGTGTTGAGACCGGTGTCATCAAGCCCGGTATGGTTGTCACCTTTGGTCCCACCGGGCTGACAACTGAGGTCAAGTCAGTTGAGATGCACCATGAAGCTCTCCAGGAGGCTCTCCCTGGTGACAACGTTGGGTTCAACGTGAAGAATGTTGCTGTCAAGGATCTCAAGCGTGGGTTCGTTGCCTCCAACTCCAAGGATGACCCTGCAAAGGAGGCTGCCAACTTCACCTCCCAGGTCATCATCATGAACCACCCTGGCCAGATTGGAAACGGCTACGCCCCAGTTCTCGACTGCCACACCTCTCACATTGCTGTGAAGTTCTCTGAAATCATGACCAAGATCGACAGGCGATCCGGAAAGGAGCTCGAGAAGGAGCCCAAGTTCTTGAAGAATGGTGATGCTGGGTTCGTGAAGATGATTCCGACCAAGCCCATGGTGGTGGAGACCTTCTCCGAGTACCCACCTCTTGGTAGGTTCGCCGTGAGGGACATGAGGCAGACTGTTGCTGTGGGCGTCATCAAGGCCGTGGAGAAGAAGGATCCTACTGGTGCCAAGGTCACCAAGGCTGCTGCCAAGAAGAAGTGAAGCATTTCTTATCAGCTTTTTGTCAAGTGGACATGGTCGTTTTGTGTTGTTAGGTTGGCGGAAAATGTTGTTGATGGAGGGTTGTTCGTGGTGGCTTCTCGGGTGTCCGTTGTTAGAATTTATCATGTGAACATGGTGGTAATGGTTCTAGTAGGACGTAGTCGCTGTTTGTTTAGTAATGGTTTTCAATTTGCCTGTGTCGGAGTTGCTCTCTCTTTGTCCAAGAGAGCGAGCCGTTCAACAGTTTTGCCCTTATTTTTGCATCGAACAGTTAATATTGGGCTAGTGAATTTCTGTTTTGCAAAGCTTATCGGTATGGTCTTTACAGTAGTAACAACAAGGCTGCAACTGCAAGTGTCCACTCCACTGCTCAACAAGATGGAAGAGTTCATTACTGATGCCATTGTTCCGTTGGTGCCACGATCATCTGTTGAGTGTATACTCTTAGACTCGAGAGTTCATACCTACGAAAAAGAGCTAGTCTGTGTATAATCTAGGGGTTACTTGTACTGATCGACTTTCCCCTGCAAAACTGAATGCACAATTCGAGTCCAATATGATGCAAAGCTACAAGATTTTGCCATTCTTGTGTTTAAACACTGCTGAGATTTCGACCCAAAACTCCTATCAGCAAAACCTCAATATCTAGTATCAGTCCTATCATTTATGGTAGTGCATGAAGTCACGCTGGACTACCACTCTACCAGGTCCAAACATGGTTGCCGATTGGAGAGAAATAGGCATCAACCAGACAACCACACTCTTCCGGTGAATTACAACTCTTTGTCAATGTCATTGTCATTCTCTTTTTCGGCTGCAGCCTTCTCAGCCTTCTCTGCTTCTTCCAAAACAAATGCCTTAAGCGAATCTACATCCCTTTTCCCTGCATTTTATTCAAAGTAAAAAGTTAACACAGGAAACGTCCTACACAATTACTGTCTACATCCTTGCGCTCAGCTGTGAAGTATATGCAAGGGTTTGACTGGATTATAAACAGCAAACTTATGTCCTAGCTGGAGAGCAACAGCAAGAACACAAGCCAACCAAAATTTTCATAAGTGGAGGGCGAAAACAATTTGAAGCGGTAGGTAAATACTCGAACAGAGTTCTTTCCCGTTTTTGCACAGTACAAACCAGAGTGTTCCTGTTGTTTTTCAATGAATGTCAGCACTTACCCAAAATTCCAGTCTCCTCAATCGTTACAGAAAGCTCCAGAAGAGCAGTTTATATCTTCTTAACTTCAAACATAGACCGGTTTTAACTCATATTCTTCATTTATCTATTTTGAAGTGGGTTTCGAATTCAGTATGACTTTCCTATGGAGATTCAGCGCTACCAACATAAAACCCATTCCCTTGCCCTATAATTGTCTAAGATGTCCTAAGCACTTAAAGTAAAGCTGCTCCATATGTTGAACATAATGGATATATGAAATCTAGGAAGAACACATATACATCACTAAGTGCTTTAAGCTGGCTCATGGGTAGCTGAATCATGTAATACAAAAATGGGACAGCTGCTCCATGACATGCTCCAAACGAAAAAGGAAAGCAGAAACTTTCCGAAGGCCAACAAAATGATGGTAGGGAACCTTGACGAGCATTTCAAAGACCAGACACAATGATCAGCCACACAACTTTCATCAGATTGTTTGAGATTTTAGTCTTTTAGTCAGAAGTTGGACTATTCAACTCACCTTGATATTTAGCAACTTCTTCTCCTTCATAAAAGACCTTAAACGTGGGGTATGAGTGGATGTTCACTTTCGAGCACACTGATTTGCTGGCACCACAATCAACTTCACCAACCTCTATCTCATCTTGGCCTTCCATTGCTGTCCCTAAGTCTTCCCATAGGGAGCCCAGATTCTTACTGAACCCAAAACAGGATTTGTTTGTGTAAGACAAAAAAGACTTCTAAAAGATAAGATATCTTGTCTGCTGGCAAATGATAATACTCATATACTTACCAGTGCTTGCACCAAGGAACACAAAACTTGACAAACCATGCAGTGTCTTTCTCCTTCACCTGAGAGATGCAACAAATTGAATTAACAATCACCAATGTAAGTTTGTTATTACATAAGCTCATATAGTTAGACGAAAACCCAAATCTCCCATCTCTGCTTCTCTGTTACCACTTGTTTCCCATAGAATAAACTGAATCAACATAGCATTTCATTACTCAATATCAAAACTTGTAGATGCACTTGAGATTTTTTATGTCAAAGACAACTGCGGGAAACTGAGCTCATCTCAAAATCCTACTACAAACCACAAATGATCTAGGTGGATTGCAAGAAATTATCTTCCTTTTCATCCAAGTTTCAAGCCTCGTATTAGAAGTAAAAATTTTAACAACGGATAAGTTTTTAACCATAATTCAAGCCAAAATGGACATTGTAAAATGCCAACTTCCGCGCAGACTGGAGTCTTAATACGCCCTTTCCGAATCCAATTATGATCAAGCAAAACCCAGTTGGAAGCGAGATAGGCCGAAGTTTATGATCAAGCTAAATTCAGCTCACAGAAATACCCCAAAATTCTATGCTTTCGGGAGAAACATTAGGCAAAATATATAGCTAATTCAGTAAATCTGAAGTAAAAGACGCGCAACCCTTAAACCCTAATCTGTAGTAGAATGTAATTCTCGACAGAGAAGACGGTGGATGTACCTTGTCGGAGAAGGTCTCAGGGGTTAGGGTAATAACTTCGGGTTTCGTCGGCGAGATGAGGAGTAGAAGCAGAAGGGAACATAAAGTAATAGAGCGATTCAGGTTAGCCATAACTTGCTGGCGCTTTCCGTGGAATGGCGGCGGCGGCGATCGCTGCTGCAGGACACGATTTTCAGGCAAGATTGTTAAGAGACGGAGATCGGCTGCGTTAATGTATGATGGATCAGTCCGAATTTGGATGGGAACCGTGTTCACTTTCTCAACTCAACCCGACTTGATTCGAACTCTGTCTGGCACGTGGGTCGCAACTTCTTTATTTTTGGGCTATATGACAATTTGACTCCTCAACTATGTGATGTTTACCGTTCAAGTCTATAAACTAAATTCTTTTACCGTTCATTCTTTTTTCTTTTTCTTCAAAATTCGAGAGTGTCATCGTCGCCAATTCATATTGAAGTACTTGTTCGTCAGTGTTAACTAACGCTAGAGTAGTAGGGATGACAGTTTTAACCTGATCTGTTAGATTCAATTTGTTTGACCTGTTTTTGGTGCGGGTTATGGGTACTCTCCTGGAAAAAATCCCAAAGTACACTAGTTCTTAAAAAAAATTCCCAAAATACATAAGTTATAAAAAAAATTCTCAAAATACACATGTTTGGCATTCACCGTTTTTGACAAACGCGGTGATAACGCAGTGAAGAATATCACCGTGTTTGACAAAGACGATGAATATTTCACCGTTTAAAATAAAAACGGTGACGTATTCACCGTCTTCATCTAAAACGGTGAACAACCAACAAGGCAATCACCGTTTTAATGAAAAGCGGTGACATTTAAACCGCTTTGATTGGCCACGATGAAGCGAAGGGGATCGCTGACGTGGACCCGCGTTAAACAAACACGGTGAATAGCCCGTGTTTGTTTGCGTCAGCGATCCGCGTCGCTGACGCGCTCACCGTGGCCGTTGGATGCGGTGAGGCGCGGATCGTGGTTTTCTTCCCAAATCCGACGCCTCACGCTGAGCCACGTCGCTCGATCCGCGCCCATTCACCGTGCTCGAGAAAAGCGGTCTCTTCACCGTTTCTGACTGAGGAGGTGAATACCCCCAGAATTAAATTCTCGGCAGATCCCTTCCCCCCTTCCCCCAACTATAAATAACCCTTCCCCCACTTACAACTCACACCACAAACATTTCATTTCTTTCTCCCTCAATTTATCCGCTATAGTCTCGTTCTAAGTATGCTCTCTGGTTGCGGCTTCATTATCGACTCGTTGTTTACTAAATTATATATAATTTTACTGAAATTATTTAGATTTTCATTTTTATTATAGTTTAGCTATAATAAAGTTGTACATAAATATAGGTTTATAGTTTAGCTATAATGAAATTCTACATAGATATAGGAGATATGGTATAGTTTAACTATAATAAAGTTCTACTTAAATATAGGAGAGAAATTCAATTTCTAACTTCAATTTCTAACGGCCAATCTACCCCGACCCTTGTCCCATAATAAATTATCCAATTTGCTACGGGGCAAATATAAACGAGTATGGACATCTAGATACCCACCGGACCTGCCATTGCTATTCCTAGGCAAAATGGAGCGTTATCCACAAGGGCAGGTCAGGTAGAAATATCTCATGCCTTAATTAGGACTCGACCTCTATAACCACATTCAGACTAGTCTTGATTGACCACCAGAAAACATACCCTTTCTTTGGTTAGAGAATCAAATAACTTCCACAGGAAGGGCTGGCTCATACCGTAAGTCCATAAGACCATAACCATACGCTACTACATTTAGAAAAGGTTGACAAGGTGAAACTTGCAAATCGTTCACGACATTCATGGTTCTGCTGGAATATAAGTATCATTTTTGATCGAAAGACGAAAGGAAAACATTGTCACAAGGCAGGCATCTGAAGCCCACTTCTTACACCAGCAGTCTACCATGATCCTTCAGCACCAGCAGTGGGATTGTTGAATGCTGTGAATCCCCAGAAGGTCTTCAGAGAGTAAGGCTGCGAAATGGTGACACCTTCCTCGGTAATTTTTGCTATCTGCAAAGTGAACATCGTCGTTTGTAAATGTAACAAAAATCAACCCTAAAGAAAGTGATTTTGAACTACAGTTTCAGGAAATATTGGTGAAAGTTAGACACCACTTTCATCTTTTAGGTTCGACGGGAGGCTACTTAACCCTAACCTACATTGGGCTTAAAGTAAAGCAAAGATAAGGAATGAACAGTGCAGTAAGGTGAAAATGAGGATGGTGCACGCAAACTAGTGAATAGCATTGACATCCTCATTCAAACGTCCGAAACTAAT